GCGGCCAGAAGGAGATCAGACGTGACGCGAGCGGCGGGCGAAGATGAGCAGCCACCCCGCGCAGCTTCCGACCTCCTCCGTTTTGTGAGCGCAGCTTCCGGTTCCTGCCGGGGACGCCGCTCGGCTCGGCCAATGGGGAGAGAGCGGCCCGGAAGTCCCGCCCCTCCCTGCCCACTGTCCCCGGCCTGAGACTTCTCGTGACCTCTCGCGGCCGTTTCTTGAAGCAGCCGGCTCTCTTGCGGGAAGGAAGTTCGGTTAGCCTTGCGGCCCTTGCGTTCTTTGAAGAGTTTCATGCTGCGCCAGCCAGACCTATTGTTTGACCCTCCTGACAGTCATGGAAGCAAGTGCACTTTACTTGTGAAGTTTTATTTTGGGAGCAGTTTAGGCTTAGAGAAGAGTGGACCTTCTTCTGCCCTGTCTCACTGCGGCCCGCGGACGGGTGACCACATCCCCGCCAGCGTCCCCGGTGTCCGCAGCCCCCTGTCCCTCTCTGTTCAGGACCCCATCTCCCACGCCCGCGCGCTAGTTGTGTCTCCCTAGTGACAGTTTCTCAGCCTTCCTTTTCGGTGACCTTGGCAGTTTGAGGGACCCCTGGGGATCTTCGCCTGGTTGGCTGGGGTGGTGGGCTTGCGGGAGGAAGTGCTCAGAGGGCAAGTGCCTTTTGCAGGAGACCACGACGACGAGGGTTCACGCTAGGCCCAGGGCGTCCCCCTGCCCATGCTGACCTTGCTCTCCTGTTGGAGCAGTACTCAGGTGAAGCTACTCCCCCACCCGTGCGTACTTCACTCTGGAAAGGCGTGCTGTGGGCAGCCCACACCCGAGAGTGAGCACTTGTGCTCCACCTTCTTTAGGGTAGACTACCTACGTAATTTACTCGGAATTGTTCTGAAGGAGCCTGTGCATTTTTCAACATCATTCCTAGGATCCATTTAGAGGAACTTATTCAGAAAACTAGGGCAGCGGTGGGTAGGGTGTAGCTTCAGTGGTAGAACACCTGGGTTCAACCCTCGGTGCCTCCACAAAAATAAAGTAAGCTACCTTCCCCCAAAAAATAAAAAATAAAGAAAATTAGGGCAGAAACTCCCCGACTTGTTTGCTTCGCGTCCCCACTTTATAAAGGCAAAAACCTTTAAAAACGTATTTTTAGAATAGATTCCTAGTAGTAGAATTATGGGCCAAAGGTTAGACATATTTTTATTACTACCTTTTTATTTTGAAGAAATTTTTAATATAAGTTGTAAGAATAGTGCAATGAACTTCCTTCACCTAGGTTCACCAACTGTTAACATTTTGC